AGAATTGAGTGTGAGGGATTAAGACCCTCACCATCTCGGCTCGTATCATAACCGGGGCAGTTGTGATGTAAGAATTCTCACATGCAGTCGACCTCCAGCCCAATGCCGAGCTAACATGTTTAAGGAGCTGAGGATCACGGTACAAACTCGGCGTTGGGCCGGATATCAATATCCGGATAGCCGCTGGACTGAGCGGTCGCTGAGCTTTGCTGGATACGGCATGACTTCATTTCAGTTGATATTTGTAAAGGAAGCATAGGACAAAATAGGATGAACCTAAAAAGGGCCCCCGACAGATAACAGAGCAGAATTCTCCTAGCCCAAGAAACGTGTACACTCTTCCGGTAAGTCCCTGCACAGGGACAGACTATGTCTGCTGTCGGTACCCGAGAGGCATAGCTTGTAGGTTACTCGACTAGCAGTGCCATGAGATTAGGTTGGCTCGGGTAGGGCAACGAGTCTCGCTCCGCGCGCAGTAAAGACAACTCCACCAAGCTCGGCGGCTGGTGCATCGTACAGCCCGGGTACCGTAACACTTCTAGCCGAGTCGCCACTACACTCGGCGACCTGTAAAAGCGCTCACGCACCGTCGTCCATCCTTTGGTGGAGGGCACAGGGTTTTGTGGAGGAGGTCAGGCGAGTCGAACTCGACTGTGCCTCAGGGAGTCTGGCTTGGTTAGTCGGAACTCGGCGAGAGCGAGGTCACACGCCTGTCCCGGCTGGGCCAAACCGCGAGGGGACCACCCTCTGGGCAGGCCATTCAAACGCCGACCTAACTCGGCGATTAGTTGTGGTTTGTGTAAGGAATCCACATCTGACGGTATTTGTGTGTTCTGCTACACACATAGGTGACTCTGTGTGGTTGTATCTGGCTCGAGTTCGCCTGGGAAGTTGGTACATCTCTGGCACGGGCCGTTCAAGATAGTCGAGAAGAGCGATGATTTCTGGTACCGTATACAAACCGAAGGCACTGAGTATCAGATCTATCCATGGGTATACATGAATAGGCTGAACCCTGGGTTCTTTCCCCTGAGAGGTCGACGGACACTCTGGACATCCCTGAAGTTGATGGTTTTGGTGTCGCTCTTTAGAACGAAGACAGCTGGGACCCCGATGAAGCGAGCGGAGAGTTTGAAGTGGAGAAAGTGCTGGATGCCCGATATATAGCCCGGACGCGAGCCAGTCATTGGATCGAGGGATACAAGATCAAGTGGAAAGGCTATGGTGCTCCAGAGTGGATCCCCAGAGGTGTATTAACTGTGGCCGACTTTTGTACGAGTTCGATGGGAGTGAGCACGCTCGAGTCCGTTTCCAGAAAATGCAGTCTGGGGGCGAGCTCCCGGGCGTGGAAGTCCGGAAACCCCCTCGAGTGATTCCAGGAAACCCCGACAATAAGGCTGACCAGAAGACCCTGGACAAATGCATGTTACATGTGAATTGCATATGAAAATGATGAAGAAACATAAAGAAGATGATGAAGACTCTAGGGCACCACCAATGGATAGAGTTTTCACATAATTAACAATTCTAGAGGTCTTATGGTGATATTTCTGTTGAAACATTTAATATTTGGAAAAATAGTATTTTTTCAGATTCCTTATTGCAATGTATACATGTCTTATCAACCGATTTATACGTATCAGAAAACCCAAGATCTGATCATGCCGGTTCGCTGTCTCCTGCTCGTCCTGGCTTCGCTGACTGCCGTCTGCAGCTCCACTGGGCTACGCCATTCGGCCCTCGAGTCCTCGTTCGAGTGGGTGTTGGACCCTCACGCTGCTGAGCGCTGTGCCAACGGATCCGTGGGCTGTGTGAGCCATGTGAAATATGGCTACACTGTTGTGCCAGTAAATGTGTCGACAGACGCCAAGCTGGTCATGCAGTCGGCCGAGCGCCCAGCCAAACTCTCAGCGGTCGTGAAGCTGGAGACGTTCACTCAGCCTGGCTGCGTCATCAGCGGATGCCACACCGTCAAGTTGCTGGGTGTATTGCCGCAGGAAGACTGTTTTAACTGCCAGGTAAGGAAGGTACCCGACCAGCCGGACGGAAAAAGCGTCAAGATCGACTTTGGCGGGATCTACTATGAGCATCTACCGTCGGGCGAGCTCTACGTCAAGTATGAGCGCAGAAACTACCTGACAGGCGAAGACACGTGCACATACGAGATCCGAAGTGGCTACAAAAGATGGTTCTAAAAGGGGGACAAACAGAAATGGGTACGTGTGTCTGCGATGACTACATCTTTGCTGCTAGTCGAGGTTTATGACTGTACATGTATTAAATAAACGTAAGCCTT